CGAGGCTTTGTTCCGGGCGGGAGGTGTGGCCGCCCCCGAGCTCCTCCGCTGCGCTCTCCGGGCGCTGGGCGAGCGCCGGGACGTCTCTGCTTGGCCTTTTGCCCCCTTCGCGAGCTCCCGGCTTAGCGGTGTGCGATCGAGAAATCGGCCACGGCCGAGACCCCGCTGGGGAGGGCCTGCTTGCCACCCGAGACCCTTTCATGGTAATCACTTTGGGGTTCCGTGGCTGCATCGAGAGGAGCTGGCGGGGAGGTGAGAGGTGAGCGGCGGGACTCGGGGTAGGAGAGGTCTCTCTCCCCTGTTAAAATGGCGTTAAGGAGGGCAGGGATCCGCGGGGGTTGGGAGTGTGCGTGTGGGGTGTCATTCATCTGAATAATAAAAACCAGCCTCCTTTACAAAGCACTCTTCACTGCTCCCACCCCGGGGTTCAGGAACTGGGGCTCTGGTCACCACTAGGGCCTGGACTCATGCATTGAACTGACAAGGTGGGTGCCCATCAGGTGTGACAAAGTGCCAGTTCCTGCCCCGTGAGAAAGAGGACAAGGCAGCGTGGTCAGTGGTGGGATCCTGGCAGCCCAGGGGTGCTAGGAGCACTTAGGGGCCAGTACTCCAGTGAGGGAGGTCAGGGAAGGCCTTCTAGGATGGTGATGGTGATGTCTGGCTGTGGCCCGGGGCCCTTGGACGCCCAGTTAGACCCCAGATAGACCTGAGATGGGTGCTGGCCTGGGGCAAGGTGCAGACTGGAGAAGGGCACAAAGACCACTTTCTGGGGTTTTCATCCAAGCTCTGAGATTGTCCCTCCTCCCACACCGCTGGTGTGGAACTGCTTAGACTACAGCGGTTTTTGCTCTTCCAGGACCCACACTGTGTCCTGAACCAGGTAGTGAGACTGATGAGACTTCACATTGTGGGCTCCACAGAGGTTTGCCTGGCAGTGGGAGTAAGCAGATCAGACTTAAAAGCCTGGAGGCCTCACTACCGTGAGAGCAAGGCTGGCAAGGACCAGGCGTTCAATGTGGCTTGCTCATCATTTGACACACCTCAAAGATTTTATCCCTGTGTGCAGGTGGGAGAACTGGGGCTGGAAAGGGTCAACAACTTGCCTCGGATAGTATCCAGAGTCGATGCTTTGGCCATGTGTCTGTTCTGGCTGGTGACACCAGGGTTTGTGTTAGGTGTTGATAATTTAGCATTCTCTTCAGACGTGTGGTGGGTTGAAGGCGAAGTGGTGGCTTTGTGTATTGTTAATAACTGACATGTGTCGAGACTTAGCAGTGAACAAAGCACTTTCACAAAGAGTTTCTCCTGCTTCTTTTTCCAGAGAAGAAACTTGAGCTGCTAACATTTTTGTGAACCTCATAATTTCCTGTAAATTGCCTGTGCCATCTGAGTGGGGCTGAGAATGTTTTAAGGCATAGTTTTCACCCTTGGTTCTGTTCATACTGCCGAGTGGCTGGGTAGCATCTCTGTCAGTGGTTTATGGTCTAGTTGGCCTTTCTTTGCCAGGGTGGGAGACTTTGATACCCTGGAATTTTCAGAGTGGCTAGCCTGTGTGAGGGAGGAATGGTGAGCAAGCCCAGTGCTCTGATGGAAACTGAAGCCCCCAGAGGTGACCTTGAGATTTCCTTATGGAGGGAAGGTTGGTTAGCAACCACTGTGGAGGCAGGTGATTATCTTCCAGAGTTGTCAGCTTTGCTCCTGCATAAAGTAGTTTCTCTTTTGCATTTCTTATGCTTTCAGCTATGTGAGGCACTTTTGTGACGGTGTAACTTTTACTATTAGCTCTACCCATAGATATATCACTTTCTTATACGGTGACAAGTCCGTTGTTGGTTCCTAAGCTCCAGTGACTACCTGGAATTGGGAAGGACTGCTAGGCTGTAATACATCGACTTCCTGGGGCGACTTGTCAAAATCACATGTTGACCAGCCTTCAGGGTCTAGTGAGTTCTCAGGGAACTGTGACCTTCAGTGTATGTTTTACAACTGGTGTAATCATTGTAATCCATTCTACCAGTGAGCTGCCTTAGTGTGTGCCTCCCTGACACTGATTGAAAACATACCTGTTCATGCACTTTGTGGAGTTTGTTCAAACTATATTCATATGACTAAGTGGGAGCAGGTTCTTGTGCAAAACTGGAATGTTCTCAGGTGTCCAAATGGTGTACATTGAGTTCCAGAGGCTCTGTATCTGCCCAGTCCAAGCAGGCATGACCCATCTGTGAGGTACTTGCACTTTCGTCTTGAGATCAGAAAAAGGAAGGGGCTGGATGAGCTCCTTGTGACCTGGGGCATCTAGCAAGAACCCGTGGTCTGGGGACTAAGGTGAGAATTCAGCTTTGGGAGGAATTTGTTGGTGAATTCTGAGACCCTGTCTTAACAGTCTTAGATAATGCCCCTGGGCCCTGTGGTGCTGAGTCAATGGAGTCCCTTTGGGGTTCAGGTAATAAAACTTGGATACAGTAGGTTAAGCAGTGTCTCAGATCTCTCAAAGTTCCTCTCAGTACTTTTGAAGTCATTGTAAATTTCCATTGAGTTCTTGCATGGGACAAGTAAACAAGAAAGCTGAGGGCCTGGAGCTCAGAATTAAGGTTTTTATGTTCTGAACTCAGCCCTTTTAATATGACAATGAGAAATCCAGAAAAATTGATGTGCAAGTTGGGCATATTATTCAAGAGAATTTGGGTTTCTCTGAAAATGAGCCCTGGATTTCAGGTTGGCGATCCCTGATCTAAAGTGACATTGCTTTCTTCACCAGTGTTTATTGAGGACCTGCTCAGTGGCCCTGTTGTCCACTTCAGTGGCAAGTGTGCCACTCAGGGCAGCCTGAAAACAGTGGGAGGTAGGTTTCAGGAGTGCACAGGGCTACCATTACAGTCACCTGGTAGCCAGTACTGTGAGGCTGTGACAAAGAAGGCAATGCTGCCATCAATCCATACTTCAGATGGTTGAGCTGATGTGTGGAGGCTTAGGTGAAGGCCATGTGTGCTCCTTGGCAGCTGCTGCCATGTAATCCATGGTCCCCATCTCGTCCAGGCAACATTTCTGCTGCATGGTCCCACCTATTTCCAGAGATCCTCTGCCCCAGCTCCCTTCAGCCTGGTTTCCACCTCTGGGCCCTTTCTCTGGCCAGTGTGATCCAAGGCAGCTTTCTGGCCAGAGCTTTCCTTCTCAGGGGAGCCATCAAGCAATCCCGTCCCTGTCATTGTCCTTTAATATTCCTGACAGCTTCAGTAGAGGGCGCCTGGTGATGGCCAGACGGCCAGATGACAGTGTGGGGCATCACCAGTTGCCGGGGTGACATTCTGGGTCCCAGAAGGGCATATTGTCTGTCTAGAGAGGCTGATTTCCATACGGGCTGTTCTTGCTAGTAAGGTTGGGAGATGCTAAAAATGGAGTTGGCTGTGCAGCATGTGGTGGTGGAGCAGAGGCAGCATGGAGAATCGGGTGCTGAGTGTCAGTCCCAGGTTTCTGTGACTATCTGCAGGGCTTGGGTGGGCCTGTGCTGCTTAGGCTGGGCTCCATCTGTGACTTTTCTGTTCTTCCCTCGGGGTTGTCATGGGGATTAGATGAAATACTCAGGCGAAATATGCTGGGAGACCAGAAAGGACCACGAGAATGAAGAACATTGTCATTACTCGAGCAACCTCAAATAACAGATTTTGCTCCTTGATGCAGGGCCCCTTAAGCATATTAAGTTTCAGTTCACACACACACACGGCATCTTCCATTTTAATAGTTGTATACTTGTTTATCTCTGTTATTGAAAAAAAAAATACAGGCATCACATCATACCTGCTTTTTCAATGGGTCTTTTGCCTAGATTAGGCCAAATAAAACTTTAAATTAAAAGTATTCTTCTTTTAAATATGGTGATTTTTAAGGTAAAGATTAAACTAATAACAGTATATCAGTAGACAGATGTAGCCAGAATGGGAAAGTGACTCTGAGTAATGGCTGGGAAACTCTTAATAGGGGGAATCCTCCTGTGACAGCTCATAGGGGTGGCTGTGGCTTCAGCTGGACCCTTCTGGAGACAGGATGCTTATTGTCCATCCCCAGTCAACTCCTTTAGGGTAATCTCATCCTTACAAAGTTCTTTCCTTTCTCCTCTTAACATGTCCCATACCAACCTTTGAAGGTCTTACTTTTCTCCAGCTGCTCCTCAAATGACACAGTTTAAAGATAGCCTCCCAGTATGACCATCTTTCCATCCATCCATATATATATATATATCCTTCAACAAAGGCTTATGGGCTTGCCCCATATTATATATGCTTTATATTTATCTCTGAGCCTCATAGTAATTTTGCTGGATGCTTTTAGCCTTTTATGGATGAGGAAACTGAGGTTGGGGGAGGTTAAGCAGGTCGGCAGAATCATCACGTGAGAGAAGCAGAGGCAAGAATGATTCTGAGTTCTCTGTGAAGCACATGATCCTTCTGATACACCTGTTCTTCCCAGAACTGGAGGACCAAAATGACAATGGCCCTTCTTTGTAGATGACAGAATCTGACCACCATGGGGCTTCCTGAGGAGGGGTCAGACCAGCCTATGTACAGTGATAAGGTGAGGCAGCAGGAGCCATGCAGGCACATAGCCAAGGCTGGTTGGCAAGAGAGGCAGAAAGGTCTGGCAGTCATCTCTCCCAACTCATTACTTCTGTAGTCCGTTATGAACCCCTAGATCAGGTACATTTTGTATTTTTTAATTTAAAAACAAATATAAAAGATAAATGGCAAACATCATGTACCCATGGAGCAGAATGAAGAGATTATGACTGTTTTGTCTGGATTTATCCCTTGTCACGGTAGGGCAATATTTAAAAACGGATCCCCATCATTTGACCTGGCTGGCTTGAGCTCATATTCAGCCTTGCCCTGAGTTTCCAAGCATTGGCTTTCTCTTTTGGCTTCATGTCCCCAGCTAATCCACTGAAAATGCCAATTGGGCCTCCTTCAAGGATGCTGATGGAAGCTCTGTTTGCTGCTTCTGACCACACTGGGTATAGGACCAGTTTGCATTTTTGGCTTTGACCTTTTTCAAAGGTGTTCACCCACCCTCACCGTTGTGGGTTGCAGAGCATGGTTTAATCGCAGCTGCTCCAACTGAACTGGAATTTAAATGAAAGGTGGAAGGTGGAAGGTATACTTAAAAAAGACAAAGAAGGCACAATTCCCTTTTTATATCGAGGTGACAGTGACTTGTTAGATGACATATCTTAAACATCTTTTTAAATGTATTTTTAAAATACTTTTT